TATAATACATAAAATATGTTCCATAATATTGATATTGCAGGAGCGTATATGAATTTGCTCTTCCCTTTGATTCTTGGTAGAATAAAGTCTTTTGCGTACAACGGGTACGAGACAAGCACACTTTTCCATTACAATGATAACATACAGAACAAATATTCTTGTTACCATGTCCACTTCTTTCTATCCCCTTTCTTCAATTTTCCACTTCTGGGGAATATATGGGCTCTTGGAACTTGCATTTTCTACATATCAATGTGGGATTGATAAGAACAGAATAACACGAAGAATTGAAAAATTAACTCATCACTTATATTACTTTTCTTGTTAATCCAAATAGATCGACGTGATAAAATATCAATGGATATGAGAAGTAGCACCCATCTTGATATATTGGAATGAGATAATCTCAACACAAATAATACAATAAGATAAGAAAGGATCTAAGATTTACATACCTTGATCATATTGCGATCTTACTCCAATATCTTAGATTATGTCGAGAGTCTTTGAGGCTTAAGCTATGATAATTTTGGAAGAGCTTCGAGCTGATAACGTGTTATGAAACTAATGAAAATATAAACAACTACAAGAGAAGATTAGAGAGAAGAGAGGGGAATAGTTCTTCTTATTCATTCTTCACTTTTGATACAATGGTGTGCTATTTTTATAGACACACTTTGGTAACCACTACATCTTTATATCAATGCATATGAATGAGAGATAATAATGTAGAAATAGGGGTTACATGTAACTCCCAAATGAGCATCTAATGTGGTAGGTCATTGGTCATCCATATATCAATATTTACATAATAGCCACAAGTTTAAAAAAATTCGGGCGCTGTTCATCAAGAAAAAAATCAGAAATGACTGTTCATCGATGTTTCCAACTCAGGTACGGGCGGTTGCACCGTAAACCCATGTATATTGCCCTTTTGGTAGATTAAGTATGACCGTAGAAGAAACTAATCTCAGCCGTTGAATTATTTTCAATGTATAGCCCATAAATTCCCGTGCTTCCTCTCTCTCCATTCTTTCACGTCAACTCAAACCCCCTGCCACCTCTCTCCTGTTGAACTCTCTTTCCCCCTTTGAAGATGGATCTGGAATGAGAGAAACTGTTGGTGTGAGAGAAGCCTGCTCCACCATCGACATATATTCCAGGATTTGCATCCTCAAATTTGCGAAATAAAATCCAACGTGGGAGCGTCGGAACAGTTTGGGAGCAGTTTGCTTTCTCAATTCCACAAAATCAAAGCCATCCGCCATGGTAGAGGCAGGCCGGTTTGCTTCTCGACTCAGCGAAATTGAAGCTACCCAGGGAGAGACGGATCATATCTACTTTTCCATGCTTTTGCCTTTTGCTTTCGTCACTATGGGACTCCACAAAATTGAAGTCACCATTGGAGAGTCGAACCAGTTTGCTTACTCAACTCCGCAAACTGAAGCCGCCATGAGAGAGACGGATCAGGTTTACACTTAATTTTCCTTGCTTTTGCTTTCTTCTCCATGAGATTGAAACAAGAAGCAGGGTAAAGGGCTCACACCAGAAGATAAGTCTAGAAGGGGAAACTGCGGGATGGACAGGAGCCTGCTCTTCCATAGATCAATCTTCCTGCCGAACCAGTTTGCTTCCTCACCTCCATGAAGCCGCCATGGGAGATTCAAATCGGATGTACACTCCTTTCAAATCAACCCTGCAATCAAATGCTCTGTTTCTACACTTCTCCCTCCTTGGTTTTTTCCCTGTCTCCTCGCATACCCTAAACTCCCTTTAGTCCAGTCATTGCATCTAGGCTGTCAATTTGGTTTGGTTAACTAAACCATTAAATATGAAAAACCAAAAACCAAAAACCAAAAACCAAATCCCAAAAAAAATCATTAAGGTCCTTATTGGTTTTTGGCAAGATAACCAAAAAACCAACATGTACTCATACAGACATACACTCATATTTATTCCTATTTTCCTCTTTTTTATTGAATAAACGTCATAATAATGATAAATGGCTATTACAAATTATTGTTTGGCATGCGTGTCAAAAGAAACAAAAAATATATTTGTTGATAAATAATTTTATTCTTATTGGTTTCTATTGATTTTTCGGTTTTAACCAAACCAAAACCATTAAGTTGCTTATTGGTTTAAAACCAAAAAACTGAAACCATTAGCTTTCCAATTGGTAGGGGTGACAGTTCGGTTATTTCAGTTATCACCGGTAATCGATCGGCCGGTTATCGGTTAACCGAAATAACAATCCTCTCTATCGAACACCGACCGAAGTAGGCTTCGGTTTCTCGGTTATCGGTTAACCGAGCCAATTTTAAGACCAAAAACCATTTCGTCCAGCCTCCGATAACCGATCGAAGTTCGGTTACCAGTTAGTGAATAACCGACCGGTTATCAGTTAACCGGTCGGTTAACCGGTAACCAAACTGCCACCCCTACCAATTGGTTTGGTTTCAGTTAAACCAAAAACCCAAAACCAAATGTACCGCCCTAATTGCATCTCAGTTCAGATGGATGGAGGTGGTTCTACATGGCCGATTGACCACTCAAGAATCGGAAGAATCCAGTGTCTGTACTATTCCTTCTTGCTGGTGAGGTTTCTTTTCCCCGGCGAAATAGAAGGAACGATCCCCTTCCCTCTGCCTTCTAATCGTTAATGGTTGGTACTAATTATGGTCCTCTCCCTCCTCAAATTTTCTCACACTTCAACTCTGTATACATACCCAAAGCCCCTCTTTGTTCTCAAGCATAATTTCCTTCACAAAATTTTAATCTTTTGCAGAATTGAATCCAACCCATAAGTCTCCTCAGGCCCATCGGGTATCTTCTGCTAGGTAACAAGCTAAAATCGATTCAATCGGAGAAGTAATCATAAATGAAGGGACTGCACTGGCGCTGACGGCTGGAAGTTTGTGCGTGTTTTCATAGGAACAGAAGCTTACTGGGTGGAGGTTAGTGGCATTTGATGCGAATTAGATGCTTGGTTTTTTCGTTCAAACATGAAGAAGTTCAAAATAAGGTCACTCTTGATGCTTTCCCAAGCTGATTGACACTTTATGATGTTAATTGATAAGATTATCAGACTATTGAAACTTCAATGAATAGATTTTTATCCACTCCCCAAGATCTTTAAGTTTTGCAATTTGAGTGTAGGATTATGACAGTTGGAGTTTATTTGTTTAATATGTTATTGTTTAAAGGCATTTGTTCATGGCTATTTCTTGGAATGACAGTACCGTTTGCTGGATAATTAAGTGAACAATGCTTTTAGGATGCAAGAGACGATTAATTAGAGCATGGTGAGCTCTAATTGTACAGTTCTATGACTCTTTTCTTTGATGTAGTTGTGATTAAGATAAGAGGTACTTATATGACTCCTCAATTAATTCTAAATGCTACCAGATAGCTCCAACAAGAAACTCTAAGTAATAAGAACAACACATTGCCCAAGAAACTATAATCCCTTTCACTATAAATTACTAGGTAGTTACACAAGAAGTAATATCTAAAACAGGGTAAGGCTTCAAAAGGAGGCAGAACTACTTTAAGAACATACAACCAGCTGGACGACTTGACAAGGTAAAGTTTAGCAGTTCCTAATATTCCGTACATATTGCCACAGAAACTATTTATCTTGCGGACTCCAATGACCATGAGATATGCTCCTTCATTGATTGAGCTATGAATGCAGACTTGGCATCCTATCTTAACGTGTATCCTTTCTCATTGTTTCATCATCTAAGGCTCTGTAATAAGGTACCCTTAATGTTTATTAGGTCATTTCCAGCTTTTTTTTCTTCTTGATATATTTCATTCAGAGTTTGTGCAATATTGGATCTCTGTTTTTTCAAGTTTTTTCCTTCTAAAAGAAATGTGGTAGTGACTTTTTCATATATATTTACCCATCTATTTCGCATGCATAATGCAATGCAACTGGAGCTTAAATTTCATCAGTGAGTGGATGTTTATAGCTTCTGGTTTTTCTTATTCTCTGCTACTCCTGATCCTGAAGCCCATCAACAAGAAACTGTGTTTACTATGGTATCATACAAGATCAACCAAGTGATGAATCTTCCGTTCATAGTTTACTTTTAGTTTGAATCTCCAAAGTGGCTCGACTTTTAAGCTTCAATGCTTTCTGCCTTCCAAGTATTTTCTTATGATTATCAACGAATAAGGAATGCATCGCTTGAAAACATATTAAGTAGTGAAGTTAAATACATTTTCAGTATTTTAGTGTTTTTTTTTTTGCTAAACTGGTTGGGAGGTTATGTTTGTTTTTGCACACAAGGTTATTTAAATAAGAAAGATACTCGGCAGGCAGGCTAAGAGATATGATTGACATTCAAAACTAGACATGAATCTCATGCTTACCAATTTCGTAGAAAAATATAGCATGTGAATAGGGCTGCAAACGAGCCGAGTCGAGTCGAGTTTTTGCTTAGCTTGAGCTCGGCTCGTTTATTAATTTTTCAGCTCGAGCTCGGCTCGAACTCGAATTTTGATAATCCAGCTCGAGCTCGAGCTCGGCTTGAATAAAAATAATCTAGCTCGAGCTCGACTCGGTAGAGCTCGATAAATGCTCATTAACATAGCTTGTTAAGCTGAGTACAAGCTCGGCTCAAGATGAGCTCGATTTAAAATCATTTTTGCTGGAAAAATGTATAAACATAAGAATTTAAATGATGGAAAGAACACTAGAAACTAGAAATAACATCTAAATTTCATACACATCTGTATTATAAGACAATGTTCATGTTTAAAAGAGTAATTCATCCTTCCACAAGCTCAAAACAAGGCAGCTCGCGAGCTTAGCTCGACAAGCCACCGAATCAAGCTAGCTCGCGAGCTTATCAAGCTGAGCATGGTCTAGCTCAGGCTTGGCTCGTTAACTAACGAGTTGGCTCGCGAGCCGGCTTGTTAAATAACGAGTCGAGTGTCGAACGAGTTTTTTCCGATTCGAACGCCGAGTTGCTCGCGAGCGGCTTGACTCATTTGCAGCCCTACATGTGAACAAGAAAATTTAGTTTAGAGAGGTGAGTTGCAATTTTGAAAGAGAATAAGAATGAGTGGTAGACTTGATTTCCTCTCCTTGAACACTCTCACAATGATGAAATCATAAAGTTAGGTCAGCATATTAATGCCATGAAACACAAATCATAAACATTTTAGGCAAAAAGAGTTTCATAACGTACAATTGATTGACTGTTTGGTAAAAACTATTTAGGCTCCACTCTGAAGAGTGGGCTAATAACCTAGGACTCATATAATCATATCGCTGCGAAGCGCGGGCCAAATAGCTAGTATATTTTAATGTGGGCACACTAATTAACTGGGGTACAATCTATAATCAGCCTAGTCAGTTGCAATATTTCCCGGGTGTCTTTCATCTGCCAATCACTAACTTTTACTACTGAGGTAATACCAGTTTATCAAACTGTCCAATGCAGTTCTCTTTTCTTGTGCCGAGATCGGGACATGGACTGAACAACATAAGATTAGTTCATTATCTGCATTGGGTGTAGTCAATTAGCATCATGCCATTTATGCTTCTTTTTTTTTATACTTTGGTAGCATCTTTTATGCAATTATGCTTCTCTGGTAGCCTATCCTTATATTCTGAGGAACTGTAGCTTGAGCTATTGAAAATGGATGCGAAAAGCCTTGGTGAGGAATACGAGTCCTTTTTGTCTGATAAAGCTGGGGAGTTGGAGTATTTGCAGTCACTGGAACAGCAGATTAAGAAACTTGAGGTAAATGCTACTGCAAGCTTCAATGCTGTTCTCTTGAACTACCGCCATTTTCCTGGGATCACTGATTTATGTAATGAATGGCACTTAAACAGAGTACAAATGTAGGTGTTTTCTTTATCGTAACAGGGTTAACTCCCCTTGCGTGCAACTAGCAGTATCCCTCAGCAACCATTTTATACCAATTACCTATCAGTACATGCTTCGAGTGTATTTTTCCCCATAAAGCTTCACTGCCAACTACCAGCAGTATCAAGAAGAATAATATCTTCTTCCTGTTAATGGTTGTTCTTCTCCTTGCAGGATGTTACTCACACAGTCAATTGTATCTGTGGTTCAGAGTACAGGGTAGCAATGGGCCTTTGTGCATGACATAGGCGAACAAAGAAAACAATGGTAAGTGGGAATAATCCCGGACTTTAATTTCTTGAAATTAGTGATAATACTATATCTTGGTCATCATTTCTGCTTAATACCAAAACATTACTTCTCATAGCGTGCGTACAGAGCCACAACCTACTCAATCACATTAGGTATTCTACATGTCACCTATATGACCTTACGAAGAATATGGCATCCATTTTGATATGAAGATGAAATTTTTGTACGTGATTCCACTTGTTATTTAAACATTGAAATCAAATCAAATAGCCAGTGTGTATCCATGTGATTTCTGAGAAATTTGGTTTCTATTATGCAATGACACATGACATTTACTTGTTCTTGGTATCGCCTTTGAAGTATATGTAAAATTATTTTACTCCAAGCCCATCTAGTGCAGCCAATATATGTTGAGCTTCGTAACTCTCTTCTAGGAAGTGGATATTGGGGCTTTCAAAAGGCACTAAGTCTTCTCTTTTGAGATTGTCTTCTTCGCGAAGTAGCTGCTCGCTGCCATGCTCTACTACACCTCTTATTATAAGGGTCTTGTGAAGGCCACCTAGTAGTTGTTCATAATCTGTATCTCCTTGTTCCCCCACAATGACCACTAGTTTAGAGATATCAATTCCCCACCTGACTGAAAGATACCTGTGAATGTAGCATCTATTGAGAAATCAAATCTATACATGTGAGTATTTGACTAGGGACATTACATTTATCATTTAAAGAAGTCGGACTTACCTCATAGCTTGCATTCTTGATGCAAATAGTGGGACTACATTTAACCTTGAAGCTGCGCGTGTATAGACAAGGTTGCATCGGAAGCCTCTCATTCGGAGCTTTTGCCGAAGGGTGTCAACCTTTCTAATCTGTAATCCAAAGATTAGAATCTCCATTAGGTGATGTCGAAGCAATTAACCTTGAATATGTTACTTTGCTATAGTCAATGAAACACACAATCTCACCTTAATTCCTGGTTTTATGCTGTAAGAGTAGCATTTGGAACCACTTGCTTTTCCAAACTCCACGATGTCATCATTAGATTCATCATCAACCCTAGCTAGTTTAAGAACCATTGACCTAATATTCTCACCAGGCCACCTGTATTCAACATGTGCTTCATAGTCCATATCAGCCACCATATCCTTCCATGGGTAGTACATTTCACTTCCACTGTTGCATATTATAGCATCGAAGTCTTCTGCGTTTACTGGACCTAATCTTAACGCTTCCATTGTCTCTGATAAACTTGAGCCAGTCAGCAATACAAACCCAGCCTTGCCCAAGCCTAGACTCAGGCCTGCAGCATGTAGCACATTCTTGATGATGTCTTGAATATGGCCTGTGCTTTCTCCGTTAGAATTATAGCAGTCAGCGGCTATCACAAACAACATCTGTCTTCTACCAGGACTGTAGTTAATGCTTGGACTGCCACTTGGTGAAGACATAAGGGTGATTGCTTCTATGAGCTTCTTCTGCCTAGTTGCTGCATCTAGCTCACAGCCAGGCTTAAAATCTCCCTCTATCGAGAATCTCAAAGATAGGTCTTCGACTTCTTTTAGAGATTCGCTCATTGGTTCTTCATGGATAGATGGTATCCCAAGATGGGTCATTGGGTGGCGATTCCTGCAGTGATCTACCTGGCTAAGGTAGTTACGGCAATGTTCTGGCCATGCAAAATGATGGATGTTTTTTAGACCGTTTTTTCGGCATTCATTCCAGAGGTTTTTGTCAGCAAGTAGCTTTAGCAGTGCATCTGTGATGGCTTTCTGATCATGAGGATCAACTAGGAGGCCATTGTTAAGAGCCTGCATAAGAGTCTCTTTGTTAGTTGCTTGAAGAGAAAATAAGCTGATAAACTATTGGATTTTAGATGCTATCTTAAGTGCATAGATAAATAAAATATTAATTGCATATCAGTTTGAATTGGATCTTTCTTTGCATGATCTAGAAAGAAAAGGGGCGGGGGGGGGGGGGGGGGGGGGTATGAAGCTTTGGTTGCTACCTTGCTGATTGTTTTCCCTGTGCTAAACTTCCATGAAGTAGATTCTATGAAACTATATTGGAATTAGTGTCACTTGAATATATGTACATTTTTATTTATTTATTTATTTGGTAATGCGTCACTTGAAATTTTGAGGTTCCATAGAGCAGCAGATGTTCTTGATTAAGGTAGTTGTTCAGGGCTTCAGGCAATCATGGTGGAGTTTTCGCGATTAGGAGCTAAATGCTATTTGCTTGTTTGGGTTGGAAGGAAAATTAAGTAGGAAGAGCTTTGGAAAAGGAAAAGAGAGAGTTATGTGTCTTTCTAGTTTTATATAAAAATTGTAGCTTACAATTGAACTAGCCTCCCCCGGCGGCCAAATAACGATAGACAAGTGTAGATGTTACCTTCAAAATATCCACTGGTCCTCCATTTTTTGTAGCGACACTTGGTAACCCATATGCAGCTGCCTGGATTTGGGGATATAAAATGAGATTTAAGTGGGTTCCTCCACTATAGGGGTGTTCAAAAATATGAAGATAATGAGCTGGTTGAAACTAAGAGGTTACCTCGATGAGTGTGAGGCCAAATGGTTCCACAAGAGCTGGATTGATGAAAACTCCCTTCAATATAGACAAATCCGTCACAGAAGGATTACTATTAGCAGTTTGAACATATATAGCAAGGAGAAATAATAATGGTTAAGGGTATGTGACATGACAGTGTAGAAAATGAAGTATACAGAGGCCCCTGCCTCATTTTGTCATGAATAGAAGCAGGGACCTGAGCACGTACATGTTGATTGTGCATAAGTGCTGTACACTTGTACCTTTGTCTTTGCAGCCAGGCGATAGATATCAGGAACTTCAGATTGTTTGTGATGCTTGGGATAGGCTACTTGACCATATAAGTCATACTTGTCAATGAGCTTGAGTACATTTGTAAGGACGTCTGAGGGGCTAGTGGACATTTCCTCGATGTCATCTCTATTGCCAAGTATTAGTATCTGCATATGAAAAATGGTAGGATTAGTGTTTACTGGCTAAGCTTGGTGATTTTTGAAATCTGAATACAAGGTTGAGCTGAAACCATAAGATTACCATGTTTGCTAATTCTCTCAGAGGTTGGCATTCCCCGAAGGCTTTGAGCAAGGTGGTCACGTTCTTCTTTGGGTCGGGACGGGATAGTGCCAATATAGCTGGCTTGTGAGGGTTTGTGAAAAATCTCATTATCTGCATTACATTCATACAGGAGTAATTAATTTGTGAGGATAGCATAAACTTGTTTGTTTCATATATGGAAGACAAGTTATTTGTCATGAAATGTTTTAACTCCAGTGCATGTGCTGTTTGTACCCTTTTGAAAAAGAAACTAGTGCTCCACGCCTAACCCCTCATAAGTTAGTGAAACTGCTGTCAAATTAGATTGTTGAAACTAACGTATTTTACCTCCGACCAGATTGGAGGAAGTTGCACCTTCTTAGGAGTTCTGTCAGACCCAATCAATGTTTTCAGATCATCTTCTGGTGAATCTTGAGCAGTAACATAGCTGAAATCCATTCCTGGGGGAATAACCTGAAACCATACAGTGATTAGAGTTAGTTAGATTTAAGACTATTTCTAGGTCGTGATACTATAGTTATTACATAGTCACAAGAGGTAAGGCTCACTTGATTGTGTTCCCATGGCACAGTGCCTAAGTACCTAGAAGAGGTTTATTTATTTGCCACATAGAATGGGGTGGGGAAAAAGAGAATACTACATATAAAGCAATTAATTGAAGGTTATGCGCGCATACCACTGTTCTTGGCATGTATCTTCCCATGCAACTGACTCCACGTCGTCTTCTAACTCTAAGTTTCCTCTCCAATTTGACATCGAAGCCATCATATAGACCCCATTGCTCTTCAATCTCTTGCCTTGTGCTTGTTACCACCATCTGAGCTGCATCCAACCCCAATTCTTCAGCCTCAATTCTCCTTAAAATCTTGTACGTTGAGTTTATGTCTTCCCTAGAAAGCCTCCCTTGCTTCAGCAGTTGCTCAAACTTATTTCTTCCCAGAGAGTGCCCAGTTAGCACCATTGGTACATCTAGAGCTCCAGATAGCTGAGCAGCGACTTCTCCCGCATCAGCATAGTGACCATGAATGACATAGGGCCAAGTTGGCTTCCCCCCATTGACTTGTTCGCCCAAGGCTCTTGCCATGTTAACTATATGGTTCAGTGCACCGTCAACAAACTCAGGTACATAAGGCCATAGTGACTCTTTTGGTATGTATCTGTGGAATATATAGAATGCACAATTTTACAACGCTTACATATAGCTCCTAGCTAGGGTTTTGACATAGGAATTGGATGAAAAGCATTACTTGTCAGGAGGACCACAAGGAATACGGATTACGTAGGCTCCGCAACTACCACTGCCATCTTGCGGATATGATAGCATCTCAATTGGTTCACCATAGTTGGAATCTACCTCAGGTGAAGTGATCTGTCTGGTTAAGAGATCGACACGGTAGACTCCTTTTGTATTGGCTAGAGCTCGAGCAAGTTCAACTACATATTTTACCTGTAATTGCACCCAAAAAAATGTGAAGTCAGTCATGGATATGTGGCAATTGACAGCTTCATCTATCAGCAGCATCTATTGCTTCATCAGTTCAAGTGTGAAACACACAAGGGCAACTAGCTCGCTATGAATTTTAGCCCTACCTGGCCGCCAGTATCTGAATCTCTTCCGAGTTCCATGTTGTCTCCACGTACCAAACCATGCATGCTACAAGCACAGTACACAGAGTGATTGCATGTGGCATTAGCCATATACTCTGCTTATTTTTCTGAAATTGGTTGGTCGGCCGGTTGCCTTTTAGTAACTGTTGCATTAGCTTCTGCCTTCTATCTACGTACATACTGTCTTAAATCTGGTATAGTCGGCCCCTGAGATGTAAATGAGAGAGGCTGGGTACCTGATTAGCACGATGTAGAGGCGCCTAGGCTTTTCTTCATCGGACCACATCTGCATGTCAGAGTTAATTCTGCTAATATGTTTTGCAGATTCAGAAGGGGTAGCATCTCCAGGTTCCTTCTCTCCTTCAGAAAGCTCGGAAAGATCATCTGCTGCATCATTACGCCCTTGCTCACGCTCTGCTCGTCTCTTTGCAAGTCTTTGTGCATCATCCCATGCTATCTGCATATTATTCACATTTCCTCTTGAGTCCGTAATTCATAGCTAGGTAAGGGCCTCTCTCTCTCTCTCGTGACGAATGGTAAACTGTAAATCCTTGTCTTACCGTTACTTCAATGATACATCATCATACAGTAGACATTAGGTATCTCTTAAACCCATTCATACAGGTTAGTTACTTAGATAACAAACCTACTCGCTTGAACATTGGGTTGCATCAATCATGTCTATGTAGAACTCTCAGTTTCCCTATGTATGGATAGTGGGAGCGCAGTCATCTCATGGGAATATGATACAGTGTAAGACAGGGAGGTAAGAATGGGAAGTAGACCTGTTTCTTCTTCCGGGCGAGATGCCAAATGCGCCAGCAAAGGTTTTCAAGCCTGTTACTACGCTCACGAGTATTCCTTGTTGCTATCACCTGCCCACCACACCACAAAAGCAAAAACCACACATAGATCACATATCTGTCATTCATCACATGCTTCTTTGCACCCTCAATTCAAACCATGCCAACTCTTCCTGGCGGTCGGGGTGTCTCTTATTGCCTACTAGGTGAAAGATGTTTGAAGTATTGTTTTCTAGGAGAGCACATTGATTGTATGATTGATTCTTGGTCTAGCAGCTTCTGCAAAATGTGTCAATAGTGGCGGTGTTTCAAGTATTATAAAATTTTCATGTGAAATATAATTTTTTGATATTTTTATGAAACGAAAACACATTTGATTTTCATTTATATATGGCTGTCCCCTGTTTTTTTTTTTTTTTTTTTTTCGGGTGTACAAAGAATACACCAAGTCTCAAAGTAAGAGTCTAATCGTCAATTTTTAAATTCAAATCGTCGATTAATATGTTGACATTGTCTAAAATCCTACTTTAATTCTAACTGATATAATAGTTTAGATTTGTCTTTACTAGTAAATTGCCATTTTCATAATTACTAACATGCTGTCAAATCGGAAATATTTTACTTGTAAATTCTTTACCAATCAGATAATGAAAAATATTAACATTATTTTTGGTATATTCTATACACAAAAAACAATGGTTATATAAAAGTATTTTCCGACTTCAAACCTGACGTAGGACCAAACACATCTAAAAACTCCGCTTTTGAAAAGTCGAAAATCGCTTTTGTATAAAATAAAAGTATAACCTCCGATTTTGAGCTTCTACGAAAAGTTGTTTTATCCTTAACATATTTGAATTTTATTTCATTTATATCATTTAATTTCTTTTAAAATCATATTAACTAACAAGACCCAATTTGACTACTTTTTATTATTTGGAATTTATACACGTCTCATATTAAAAATCACTTCTAATGGTTTTTCAGCCAAGCACTCAACTATTTTTTTTTTAAGTACTTCTCTAAAAGATTCTGTTATAAGCTACTTCTGCAAAAAATACAGCAGAGCCAAACAGGCCCTATATTTCAATTTTATATAACCTATACTTGCCAAACAAGGGATAAGGATTAGCTTGATAACCAAGCTAAAGGGATGATATTACTATCCCTAACTAAAAAAGTGTCGTCTGCGCCGAAATCTCGAATGGTATTTACCCCGATTAAATGATCAATATTACTGTAACTAGAACTGTCACCATAACTCAAACTATAGATGTTTTTTATCTGTATCATTTAAAATCCGGTTTTGACTTCCACCGGTATTTTCAAAAGGGGACCCACCGGGAGCAATTTTGAAAATTTTCCTAACTCACCTTCAACTTAGGGCTTGGAAACGATGCAGTCTGGTCCAGGCTAGACTATATATACAGTCTAGATCGAGAGGTTGGAGTATAGAACACATACCAGATTACAGACTATATGGTCCAGACCACACCTATGCTTTCTGGTCTGGTTCAGATAGATCTAAGGTTGTCAAACTGGTTTATACCGTTGTGCCGGTTTGGCAAGTGGAATGGTACGACCGGTGGTATAATCAGTTTGTGTCTGTTCATGTGGTTTAAAAAAATGTGAAAACAATTGATATCCAATGTATTTAATCATATATAAAACATATTTGCGGACAATTTAGTTATAATCCAACAAATATCATCAATTTTTAACTATTAAATTCATAAAATGAATAATAAATTAATTTTTTTGTTAATTAAATTCATTAAAATGATATCATTTTACTTAGAATAGTTAAGTCGATCATACCGGTCATACCGGTTTCATGACCGGCACAGGTTGAACCAGGTTCGACCGGGTGGCATGCCATCGGCATGACAACCATGGATAGATCATACTTAACCAAAAATTAACAATTTGATTAGTCAACCACACAAAAAAAATTGAACCAATAGCAAAGATAAAAATTATTTTTTCCTTCAAACATATATACTAATATGCATGAATAATTTTGACACTATAAATCTAAGTAAATAATAAAGATACAAAGTAAAAGCATTCCAACTTGTACCATAACGTCATAAACATTTACATAATGTCATATAGAGACACGATCGTGGTTGTGAATGAAGGAGGGGGACGAGATTCTCAAAATTAATATTGAGACTTGGGTATCCTTGTGGGAGTTGGGAGAGTGGTCGAATGAGCTGCTAACTCGTATTGAGAAGTCGGCACGGTCCATGGTTTGGTCCGGTAAACTGCGGTTTAGACCATACCAAAAAAATCAAAACATTATATAATACAAACCATGAACCAGACCAGACCATACTTAACGGTTTACCGTCTGGACCAAACTGTACGGTCCAATCTGTATCATGATTTTTCAAACGCTCTGATCTATTTTCCCAGCCCTACTTCAACCTATTCCTCATTAATACATACATGTTTGGTTGGTAGTGGACGTTTTCATAATTATTTATAAAAAATGTAACCTCTAGAATTGACAAAAATTGGAAACTATAATTTGATTAAGCTAAGTGTATTTTTATTTTTATTTAATTTGTTTAATACGTTTTCCTTCTCATTTCGTTCAAGAAAAAGTAACTACTTATAATTTATAATTTACAGGGTAATAATTTATAATTTACAGGGTAATGTCTACATTTTATCCAAATCTTTTTAAAATTCTTTTATATTATCCAAACCTATTAAAATGCTACTAATTACGTTATTGTTAATAATTTTGTAACTTTTATCTTATTTAAAATACTAAAAATTTGGAATGTTAACCGTCATGTGTCTCTTCCAAATCGGTATCATGTTGTCAAATCAATATTTCTAACAAAGTTGCTGACTGGAAGTTAATATTTGGCTAATTTTTAGTATTTCGATAGGTTTAGCTACCCTAATTTATATTTTGTAGTAAACATTATAACTTTCCTGTGGTAAAAATCGTTTCAAAATACAATATTTTGAGTTAAAATCCTATAAGAATTGAAGAATTTGCATTTCTTGGCAAATTGGATCCATGAAGAGGTAAGCACAGTATTTTGCGAATACTGACGTTGTTGTCAAATGAAACTAATTAATAGCCTCGACTCCCAAAATATATATATATAGTATACTGCCTGATTTGGCTTTAGAAAATTTAGAGGGAGGAGGAAAGCTGTAGATAATAAGAGCAGCTAAGCAAGCTAGTAAATGGCCCTAGAAAAAATAATGGCAACTCACGGGGTTCTCGATCGACTGAACTTTGGTCAAGAGAACTAAAGCAAATCAATACTTGTGATGAGACGTGGATGCTAGCTAGCTCCAGACTCTGTGAGTCGCCGGAGTGGCTCCGTTTCCTTCACTTTCCGTTGATGGAGTTGAGAGATATAATTAGGTGGGGGAGTATTATATGTAGCTAAGCTAGCTAATTATATACGCATGACAGAGGGAAAAAGAATTGATCAAGGAGAGAAGTGCAGGAAGAAATTAAAGAGGGAGAAAGAAACCTTGACCCAAGTCCTGTGAAGGTCGGATTCATCGAAGCTATTAACAACCTCTTCAACGAAGTAGCTTGTAGCGCTAAACAACTTATTGGTGGTGGAGGTACTACTGTAACTCTGTGCTTCTGCTTCTGCTTGTGCTCGTTTGAACTCCTTTTGATCATCATCACAATCATCGTCGCCGTGAGCTTTCATCTCTTTCTCATCATGAAACTTGGAGAGCTTCATCAGTCTGCTGTTGCCCCCTGCAGGATGATCATTATTTGTTTTCCTCATCGTAGCAGCGTCACCTCCGGCATCCAGTATTGCCTCCAAGTACCCATTTATCCACTCATTCCTTGCACCTGCCATTCTGATTCTAGGCTACCTCGATCTGTAGCTTGCTAGCTTAATGAATCCCTCCCCTGCCAGAGATGAGAATAAAGGAGAAGGAGCTAGCTATATATATATATATATATAGGGAAACTGTGGAAGGAAGGAAGGGCTTGTTATGGTTTGGCAGGAAGCTTGCTTTTGCCTAGCTTGTGTTTGAAACTCAGAGTTAGGTTGGAGGTGAACAATTTGCAACGCAGCTTATAAGGGGTGCCAGCTTTGATTCCTCTTTGGAATGATATATATGCTCTTTTGGTTGGTTAATTTTTATGCTGGTTTTCTTTCAGCGGTTCTTTCTTATGCTATGCTGCTTGGCTTTTGTTTGTTTGCATTTTCTATAACAGCAAACAAACAAGGCAGACTGTAGTCACGCTGAAGTGGAAGGAAGAAAGGTGGGGAATAATATGTGAAAATCTTTTCTCCTCAAGATAAAAAGGACCCCCTCTCTCCCAGTCCACCACCCGTGTAGTTGTTTAGTGTGTGGAAGTTCACTTTCATTCCCAATAGGAAGGCATGATATTCATATTCGAGATTACTAAGGCATATATCTCACATGCTGCGGCATGGCCAAGAATATATAATCACTTTCTAGTTTCTGCTCCAAAGCGCTATATATGCGTCTCTCTTTCGAGTGAAGATTTAGCTAGCGTTTGGCTCTTATTCTCTGCTCAAGCCCATCACTGGTGTGGTATATGTGCACTGTATAGTCTATAGTATATACTATATACCAATTTACTAACCGATTGATAGCCACAGAATTAAAGCAAGGCCACTAGCTCACTACCTTGACGAGAGAAAAACACAAGGAAAGATAGTGATATATGGACTGATGTTAAAACAATATAAAACAACAACTGCAGCAAACATATCAATATGAGAAAGATTGGCCATGCATACTCGCTTGGCTGAGGATTTTCACTTACTTATCTTTGCTACTCTATTTGTTTCGTGGGCAGCTAGCTAAGCGGTGTTTCTACAAACTACAAACTCTTGCCGCCACAAAAATCTTTGTCAACATGAAATCCAATCCGTATGGCTTTATAGGGTGTTGGCATTTGGTGCGAATGAAAACAACGGGGCCGTTTGGATGGAACATTTCTACAACGAGAGAAATTTATATAAATTTCTCATTTTAGAAAATGAGACGATTGTGTCCAGAATTATTTTATTTGACATCAGACAATCGTAATGTAGTATTTTCATAAAACACTTCTGCCCTCTTTCTTTTACCCTCTATCTCCATCCTCTTCTCTTATTGTATTTGTAACAAAGCCCATAAAATTAACAGACCAACAAAGATAAACACTCTTGAAAATCACAGATTTAGAGAGAAAAAGCAAGAAAATTAATCCAACAGAAACTCAATCGCCAGATCAACAATTTCCTAAACTCGTTCGGAACAGGTTGCACTTTGTCGGCGTCGACTGCCACCATCTCCATCATCGTTTTGTATCCCTTATCTTCTGCTTTCGTTTGACAAATCCAGACTACTATCATCTTCCACTTTTCTTCTGCTTCTGGTGTCGACTGCCACCAT